GCCTGTTGCTGGCAGGGGGGTGGGGGGGGCAGCGGGCGTGGGGAGGCACTTTTTCTCTGCCCGGCAGCTCTCTGGGACCCCAGTCGGAGCCGGCCCGAGGAGGAGGAGGATCCTAGGACCCAGGTGAGCGAGCCCCGGGAATGCTGCTGCGCATGTGCGGGAGTTGCCTCACCCCGTTCGTATCTAGGGATCCGACGTAAGTCGGATCCATGTAAGTCAGGGACTGCCTGTATATCACAAGTCATCTGTGCCTAGGCTCTACTGAGTGTCTCTAGTGTATAGGAATATTGTAGTAATATTTTCAATAGTTGCAAGACCACATTCTGTACCAGAAGCTACCGCAAGTATGTCAGAACAGGAGTGTGTCTATAGCTTAACCTTGCAAACTTGTATGTAGGCAGTAAACCATTACCTGGGATCTAGCTGCACATGAATGTTATAGGAGCTGTAATTTCATATGTAATGTGAGATCATGCCAAAACACCTTTGCTTCTAGCTGTTACACTTCTTCAGAATGTAAATATGCTCATAACCGCAGAGAAGCTCCAAGTTTAGTTGGATGAATTAAAAAGTTGAATATATCTATGGGAAAAGCTGCATTTACTCTGATTACAGAACAATTGCTCATTTCAATATTTAACCCAAAGAAAGCAGCAGCAGGGTTAAGGAGATAGGTGAAATTCTTGGGTGCTCATTTTTATGATTCAGAGTTCAACAATAGCAACCAACACATGAATTCAGGGTGTTTGTCATACTTACTACTGGAAATGTCAGGTAAGAATAACCAAGATGTACCAGAGAAAGTCAATGTGCTCTAGATGACACAAAGGGAAATCTTGCCAATGACAAATACTATGGTACATCACATACTAGTGAGGGCTGAAGTGTTTAACATTATTGCAACTGCAGGACTTGTGCATACAAACAACTATTTAAAGTGCTGTTTTCTTATTCCTAAACACTGTAACATCCATTTTTGGAAACGCTACTTGTGATATTTTTTAAAAGTTTGTGCCAAGTTACAAATATTTGTGGCTCGCTCCAGGGAGCAGCTTAGAGTGAATGAGGTGGCAAAGGCAAGACACAGGAACAGAAAATAAAATACTGTTTTACATTTTCATGATAAATTTTAGCTGATCAGATCCTAGAAGTCTCAGTTATGTGTATTTTACCAGGAATTGCTTTTCTATAAGGCTATTTATAGAATGAGTTTTCAAAATCAAGAATTATATAAGGAAAAGTATTGACACAGTTACAAAGGTGTTACAAAAAATAGAGGATTAGAATAGGTCAAATCTTTCAGTCTCTTTGTGGTACTTAGGCTATCACTCATGTTTACTCTGTCAGAACTAGCACACCTCGCACAAGTCCCTCTTTCCAAAGGATGGTCCGGTCAGCTTTTAGCCCTGAGCCACACTTGGATCTTGAACTACTTGGGATTACATCCTGTTGTGAGTAGATATACTAGTATCAAGAAACTGAAATGAAGAGGGCATTCTTTTTAGGCATAAATCTACATTACACAAGGCCAGGCCTGCCAACAGGGACTCCCGGCCGTTCCTGATGCTGCTGCCGTAGCAGTGGCAACTGGAGCCTTTGGCAGTGCTGAAGCGCTGGTGGGGAGAGACTAGCCCCAATCCCATCACCTCTGCCTAAGACCTTGACCTTTTTGGGAGCATGGAGCCTGCCTCCCCCCCAACCACCACCTTGCCTACGTGTCTGGCAATTCTGTTGGGCCCCCTACATAAGGCTCCCTGAACTACTATTTTCCTCATGTCCCGAATTTTGAGTGTTTCTCACACATCTAGGATTTCTTAGGCCATGTGTTCTTGTCCGGGATGTTAGTGTAATCTTTCCTTAGAAATTCCCAATGACTGTGATTCTACAGCCCCCTTAGGATAACCTGTTCTAGTGCTTAACAATTCTTATATTTTCAAAGTTTTCTCTAATATATAACCTAAATCACCCATGCTGCAAACTAAGCTGGTTACTTCTTGTTCTATACTCAGTGGACATGGAGAACAATTGATCACTGTCCTCTTTATAACTGCCTAAAAAGTTTGACAAGTTTGACAACTTCTCTGTGTCTCTTCTCAAAAGAAAACACACACAAATCTTTCACCCTTTTTTCACAGGGCATGTTTTCTAAATGTCTTATTTTTGTTACTCTCTTTTGGAGTCTCCCTAATTTGTTCTAATCCTTCTTAAAGGTGTGCCCAAAACTGGACACAGCTTAGTGATTATGACTGCTAATTAATAGATAGAATGTCATTTCTCCAGTGATAGTACTGATGTCAGTAAATCGTGTTGGGTGTCATCTCTCTTGTTCACAGGACTAGGTACAGACAAGACTTTTTCAGAGTTTGGTTCTGTCTGTGCACATAATGGAAAAATACGCCCACGCTGATATACAATTGATCCCCTACTTTCTGTAGGGATAGTTTTCTGGGAAAATACATTACATGAAGTCAACTGGTTCAAAAGTATCTAGCTCACCTTGATCTAATTCATTAGTCAAAACAAGACTTTGTCCTAATTTGTAATCATTGTATCACAATTCCTGGATCCAGCAAATTTGTGGATAGACCTAATGACATCAGCTTGAATGCAGATGTGCAGAGCTCCCCATTAATCATTTGGTAAGCTGGAGGAAAATCAGAGTGAAGCAATCTTCAACATATCAAGAATGCAAAGTGGTGCTTGAAAAGGTACGAGTATTTTAAGCCTTACAATAAGTGGTACTTAATTAAGCCCATCTTCCCTAATTCTGGTAAAATATTTCCGCACATTGCTTACCTCTCCCTTGCAATTCTCAGTCCCAATCTCATTCTCCACCCACGGACTGACACTCAGAATCCCCGCCCTCCCAGTCCTAGTTTCCTTGCCTAGCCAATCAGTCTCCTCACACCCAGCTGTCAGTTCCCTCTTCCCCGCTACCTGACTCCAGTCAACTCTTCTCTGTCCTCACCACTTCCCAGGGCTTCTTCTTTCAAGCTATTTCCACCAGAGGTCTAGCTCTTATCCCCTCAGCATTCCAGTCAGGCAGTTTCCTTCCCTGCCATCTGAGCCCAGCAGGGATAGACAATGATAGACAGTCCCCTGCTCTCAGTTCAGTTGCCCAGTGCCAGCAGCAGTCCAGAATTGCAGTTTCAGGCAGAGTCCTGCTGAGCCCTATGCTGGCAGATGCCCATTAAGGACAGAACACATCTTTCCTGAAATGTGGTGCCCAAAACAATGCTTCAGTTGAGGTCTAATCAGCATAGAGTACAGCAGAAGAATTCCTTTTCATGTTTTGCTTACAATACTCCTGTTACTACTCTTTTTTTTAAAACAATGTCACATTGTGGACATACTTTTAACTTGTTGTGAACTCTGACCCCTACACCCTTTTCCAAAGTACTTGTCATAGATAGTTATTTCATCCTATTTATCCCAGACCATTTCTCCAGTTTGTCTAGATTATTTTGAATTATGATTAGGTACTAGAGACGGAAACAAGTTCTTTCAGTCTTTCAGTGTACACAAGAATCTATGATATATGATTTGTGACATTACAGTGGTTTTCCAAGGATGAATTAATGGACAAAACCATAATTTCTAAAAACACGTAAAAAAGATATTCAAAATTTTCAAGCTTGAATGGCTCCTGAACCAGATGACGTTCTGTCAGCTCTTTTGCCAAACTCTAATCATTTGCCAGTTATATTTCATTTCAGTTCATTTTGAGATGACTAGTTTCTTCCCAGATTTATCCCTGAAGCCCCAATTATATGTAACATCCTCTTTCCTCCCTGGGTTACCCGGGAGCAGGCCACACTCACCTGTGTGCCTGGATGGCTGATGTTTTTAACATAAAAGGAGATCCTGAGTACCTCAGCTGTGATGTTATTTAGTTGGGGGTTCCCTATCCACCCCCTTGCTGCTATCCCTTACTCCTAAAGATATATACAATGGCCGTGCCTCCACCTGGCTGGCTCTGTACACACTCAATGGTGTACCTTGGGAGCCTGCAGGAATAAAATTATTCCAGCAATAATCTGGATCCAACTCTGAAACAATTATAAATAATATACATCTAATTGATAAAATTAGAATTAACACAGCTTAAGAAATTTAAAGAAACAGGGTTTAACAGAGTAAAAGTGAATAAAATCAATTAACAAAGTAGACATAAAGAAAGGAAACTTAACTATCTGGCATTTACACTCCTACCATTTATCCCACCCCAGTGTGTGCACTCCTCTGGATTCAGAGTCCTAGACACTTGCAGGCACACTTGGAGGCAGCTGGAGTGGAGATTGCACTGGGCAGGTCCTGTGTGTGTCAGTCCAAACTGTGCAGCCAGTCCAGGCAAAGCAGTCCAGCAGCTCTGGTTTACTGGGTATATCACTCTGCCTCTCTTTGCACCCAGAGTAGTCTGTGCTCTGTCCCAGGCAGCACTTTCCCAAACAGCCACAAATACTCACATGCAGGGTTATGCAGGCCCTTCTCAGCCACAGGCCCAACCAAACTCTCTCCCCTCCAGGGACAATCACACCAACATTCCCTGAAGCAGCCTGCTAGATACAAGCCCCAGCAGGTTCTCAGGAACAGGCTCTAGCTTCCAGCAGCAACTCCTGACCTGGAAAAGGCCCCACACCAGCAATCTGGCTCCTCTCCCCAAAATGGAGCTAACCAACCCTCTCTCTCCCTGCCTAGAAGAGAGCAAGAGTTTTTTTTCTCTCTTCCTCTCAAGACTCATGGGAGTTGTAGTCACTAGGGCTAAATTGCAGCACAAAGGATCCTACTAGTAAAAGTCAGATGCTCCTATAGTGAAGGGACTACAAACAATGCACTATTTATTGGACAGCCAGGATTGCAATGCACTTATTCATTTAATTAAGTAGTCTATCCATATATTTTAGAAATGCGCCTCTGTCTGTCAGAGTCTCTTTGTTCAAGAACTCCTCCTAAAAGGTAAGAGCTTGGACCACCAAATTTGGTGTGCATCTTCCTCTCAGACTTCCTTAAGGTCAGGGTTTGGTTGGGCCAAGAAAATGGGAAGTGCTGGGAATGGGCCTATTTCCCACAACATGGAAAGGGAGGTACACAGAGCGGAGGGCCGTAATACTGGAGTGGCCCAT